AACAAACACTATCTGAGTATATTTTTTTTCTTGAATTGTACCAAATGAAGTTTTTCTTTCTTCCTGTACAGGATTGGCAGCGTACACCCCTGCTGTTTTTTGCCAATTCACTGTAACGCCCAAGGCCATCAAGAAACCACTTTTTTTTGTGGGTTCAGTGTGCTCTCTATTTGAAATATGAAGTAAAAACAGCACTGCTGGAAATGAAGACTGTGGTGGCTTGGTGGTCAGTGCTGCAACTCTTGTAATCCCCAGGCTYCAGGTTCGAGCCCAGGTTGTATCAGGGAGGGCATCTGGCACAGACTATTTCCAAACCCTCATGTGAGTTTGCTTGCTGTGTTGACCTCTTCAGAAAAGAGTGTCGCCAAAAGATAAACAGCACTGCTGGACTGGAGCTTGTTAGAACTGCATTTTTTTCCAACATATTCTTCTTTAAATTGTTGTGTATGTTTATCTACATGTTGGTCTAGATACATCTTTGATAATGCTAGAGTTTGTTTAAATGGAATTGCAAAGTATTAAGTGGTTACATTGTTGATGAATGATCAGGTTTTTCTTAATTTATGTATTTTTTCAATGTGGCCGTTGTACATTCATTGACAAACCTAAATTAGAAAATGTAACCTATCTTTTGACAGCATGATACAAGTATTATTATCCAATTTTATCTGACCACAAAAAGAAAAAGCAATTCAAATGTGTTTTTTATTATTATTTCAAGAAACTCATTCAAACTAATTAAGCTATTTCAAACTGTATTTACAATGATGAATTTAATTCTGAATAAACATTTTTGTTAACCTTGATTGTTTTGCATTTCTTCCTGAATATATTGTATCACCTGAGGTACTCAACAAACCATCACCTTATTATCCATGGTTGTGAATAAAGTMAGATTAAACAATCTGTACTGTATTTAGAATACTACAGCAGATATCATTAATGTGTTCAAAACTGTCATTGATCAATGTGCTTCAGGAATCAGCTTGTGTCAGAAACTAGTCATTTTTTTAAGAGTTCGCCTCCTTTCAGGAGACATCTCAGACAGTGGAGAGATAAGCATTCTGAGTCCAAACTCATAAATATTCTTAAGATAATTGAGACAAAAAAGGTGAACCAAATGCACATCCATAAATCACTTCCATGGCACTGACCTCATTAATCAGGATCCAGTGACAATCGAAGGCAACCAAGTTGGTTTCCACGACCTGAAAACAACAAACAAGAATCACAAAATAAAAATGAGGAAAAAATAASTATTTTGAGAAAGACTTGACTTGTGCTTTAATAGCAGGACAATCAGAAATTTTAGGACATGAGTYGTGTTTAACACCTAAAGAAGAAGTTGTATTCGTATTCAACAGATCTTTGTAATTTTAGGAGCATGATTCATTGCACCTTAGTGCCAATATAAAAATAAAAAATACAGATATATACAAGGCTTAAAATCTGTGTGAAGCTTGACTTATGTTATGTGAAAAAAAAAACATTTCAAAGTTTCTGAATGTATCAGTCAAATGTCTTTTTAATCGCATGCTAATGTTGCAAAGCTTTCTTATCGGTCACAGAAAATACCCATATAAATACACATGCTTACATCTCAGCAGTAAAAAAATTCTTATTTCATACAGATTAGACAAATTTTAGAGTATATACACTCTTTTCTGTCCTTGATGCTGCAGCTGAATCACACATGCAGGAAACTCTCAGCCARAAAACTGCTTGATTTCAACACAAGAAAAAAAAAAGAGGAGTTTACATGAATTAGTAATAATGCAGCTTAACTCTCCTGTTGCCCYTGTGTCAAATGACCCACTTTGACCCAAGGTCAGCAGAAGAGTTAAAAACGACAATGACAAAAGGCAAATCTGTTTGGGACTTCTCATAAAATGTCTGTACAGTCTTTTATTTAATAACATTTGTTTTACTCTGTAATTGCGTTATTTTGGTCCATTTTTATTCCAATGTAACCCATCACATCGAAACGAGGATTAAGCCCAAAAGTGGAATGTGGAAAAAAAGGCAAATGTAGGGTTTTGATTTAAAAGTGTGCAAAATTTATATTTTATCAAAAAATAATGAATTAATGCCTTATCAATGTAACAT